TCCCTACACTGGTAAGAAAAACAGTCAGCATCTCCTTAGAAGAATTTCATAGTAGATGCTTGAGTTACAATAAATTTTGAAAATGGAGTCCAGCCATCACTATAGAATAAACGGATGTACCTAATTAATTAGAAGGAAAAAAAAATTGGTCCTTACAAAAAAATACTGTTATTCCCTGAAGCTAAGCGGACCCAGCAAGGTGGCAGAGTAATACTAATCCATACAGGATATTGCATTAGATTAATGCAGGGAGTCCTCCACACACTCTTTACAAAAGTCAATGCTACTTTGACTGCTTTCACTTGGCAAAATGATAGAAATAAAATTCAAAGTTCAAGTTCAGTAAGAGAACACATTACTGAAAACAAATAGAATCCTGTTAGAGAATTGACTTCGAAAGTCTAACACCAAGTTCTTCACTGGTTAACCTTAAGGCTCACAATATCACTCATATTTTGCACAACATTAAAATGGATTTGACCCTTGAATGCTACAGAAGGCTTATGTTAGAGTTATTACTCCTAAAGAGTTAGTACCTGTAATACGAGCATGCCTATATAAATATGATTAAAGACTACTTTCTGACAGTGCAGCTCACACTTAGCAAAGGCATAGCACTTAGGCGTCCTCAAACCTGATGCCGTCAGATCTAAAACCAGCGGCGACTAAACTAAGCCCTAACAAAACACGAGCTTCTGTAAAGACATAGAAGTCAATGAAACTCCCCACAACCAAAGGCATTCCCCGAGAAGCACTGCCCATCTATGAACACCTGTAGCCAGAAAGACACAGCAACAGCTTCTAGGAGATGAAAGGCAATAACTAGCACGTCGATTAACTTCCTTTCGGCGATGAACAACCAAAAAAAAAAAAAAAAAACCGAAGCCCACCTTCCTCAAGCGTGAGTACAAGCTCAAGGGCATCAGGAGAGCAAAAAAGAGAAGCGAGCGAAGTTGTACGTCGCTACCCGGGAGAAGAGCTGGGAAAACCCTGGAGGGTGCCAAGCAAAGCTTCCCCACCCCCACCCCCCCAAAAAAAAAAAAAAAGCTAAAGGAGGCTCAGGCAAACTAACATGATACACA